GCGTGTTGAACTGTGGTAAGCACTACATTTCATGTTACAGGTATTCAAAATACGAGTAGAAATGGAGCCCTCCAAGGTATCAAGCAGTCCAAAATATCCAAAATGTTAAAGTGAAAACTATCTTTATATACAAATAGTTGATTTTTCTCTGGTGACAAAATTTTCAATAATACTCAGTATCCTTTATTTGCAATAAGAGACTTCCAGAAAAGGTCCCAGTTTTTTCACACTTTTGGCAGCCTATTCATTTCTCCTCTATTAAATAGCTGCATTTTTCACACTACTCTTAACACTTCAAGTTAACATACTCTACACCACAATTGTGATGTTTAAAATGTAAAATAATCGATCAAAGGCATCTGACCAGCTCAAGAGAAGCAGCAATATAAATTCCTTAAACAACTCAAACTGCATGCTTACATGCATTAACAATTCTTCCAATAAAATGGTGCCAGCAGGAGGTAAGGCTAAAATGATGGCAGCATGGAGATTTTCTGATGTCACAGAAACTGGATCCAGTCCACTCTGTTGCTGAGATGTACTGTCTAGCCTTCTCTCCATCTTAGTAAGTTTCTGGCTACGCACTACTCATTGGTATCTATCCTCTATGATTGACAAATGGAACATAACATGATAATAGTAAAAAAAATACAATGACAATGGAAAATGTCGGTAATATCAATAATCTAATATTTAAAAACACTGTTGTTATTTCTTTTAAATTAGCAGGCAGTATTGTGACACCTGAAGAACTGACAAAAATGTAGTTAAGTTCTGCTGTTAAAAACTGCACAATGATAATGAAAGAAGTCAGAGAAAAGTCACTTTCCTGAAGCCAAACCATCATCATTCCAAAGGTAGCAGAAATGCTAAGTGTTGGTGATGTCTAGAATAACAACATTGGTTCAGAATACTTCAAGCAAGTTGGTTCTAATACTTTCTCACATTCTACTGTAAAATATGCTAAAATTCAACTGAGTGACTAAAGGTAGAGCATAATGAAATTTGTGATTTACAGATAAATTCAGAGGTGATTTCTAGAATTGAAGGTAACAAATATGGGCATTAAATAACACACTCACTCATCAGTTAATTATATGGTTAATAATACTAGCAAGTAGATTATACTAAATGTACATGACTTACTAGCTACACTTGCTGATTTTTTTTTTAAGCAATAGTAGTCAAGCTGGGTGAAAATCTAATAGTTGAATCTATCAGTAAATTACTTAATGTTTGTACATATGAACATTATCAATTAAATTCTAGATATATCTATGTATATTACAGGTCATGTCAAAACTTACTTAAGTTAATACACTTAGTAGACTTGAGCTACGTGATCTATTGCTGTACGAAGCACAAGAGAAGGAGTCAGAGACTAGAGCTGGAGAAAAGTCCAGAGAGAGAGACTAGCAGCTCTGTTCATGAATATTAATGGCATATTAAGCCAGAGCTTGACATGTTGTGATTTTATAGCAATACATGTGAAAACACTCAAACAGCCTCATAATCTAACACACAGAAAATTGTGTGGCCATAATCTAAATCAGCTCACATTTCTGGGCTGGAGTGTTAACCTAAGTCTTCATGAATGGCATTCGGAATTAATATACCTTTTTGAGGGAAACATATCTCCAACTAGTTACTTGTTTGGAAGTGACCTGAAAGCCTGATAAAGAATAGTTACAATTAGTCACCATCCTTAGAGAAAAATACTTCTATGCATTAGCAAAAATGCACTGCTGTTAATTCTGACAGAATTTTTAACTCAGTTATTATACTGAACTTTATGCATCCTATGTTCTCTACTTCATTACTATTAAAACTATGCTTTTGAAAAAGAGGTTAATATGTTAACTACACTTTTAAATAGCCATCTCTTAGTTAACCACAAATATTTTTAATACAACTCTTAAACAAAATAGTATTTTTATTATAATGAAACATAAGCTAACTTGATATTTCTAAATTATAAGTCTGGGTTACAGATCTCTAACTGAATGCCTACCATTCGGGGGGGTGGGGTGTGAACTCAATCCATTTTTTCCTACAGTCTTGAGCCTATAGGGGACCCATCAATATTTTTGTTTGCAGAAAGCAACAGTAACAAATATGATTATTCAGAAGATGCAACTTGAAGTATCCAGGTACAAATCTTTCATTTCCAGAAATAAATGACTATACTGATGTAAAAACATCCTTTAACATACACTTTGCTTAAAACTGAAGGGAACATTTATAAAGAAATACTTCAGGCCAACATAGACTACATTGGTAATCTCACTGCTCATTATTATTTTCTAATGCTTAACACCTTTAGTTATTTTCATGGTCATCCAGCATACATGATAAATTGGTTACTAAAGTTATAGATCTATCTCTGATGGGAAAGCTCAATAAGAAGAAAATGAAAGGAAAAAAAATTATCCATCACTTAGTAGTCATTTTAAGGCAATAGAGCCAGTTAAAAAAAAAATCATTCCAAAACTAAGTAAAAAAACTAAATGTATTTAGATATTCCTTAACATACACTAAATATTTGGTTGTCATTGTAACTACAATGACAATTTATTAATTTCTGTGTTTTGTAATAAATTGGTAATTTTTAAGTAGTAGCTTTTCTAATTCTGAGGAATTAATTTGCCAAAACAAGGTTTAAAAGAAAAGATATGAAAGGGCTTGGTTTATCCTGATCTGGTATAAATTTGTGAAAGAATATAACAAGAATATACATAAATGAAGCAAAGTAGTCATCACATTCTATGAACCAGAAATAATATCATAAACTTTGACATGTTCGTTTTCATAAAATTTTACATTTTTGATCATATACTCCTAAGTTTGCACCTCTGACATATTCGAAATTTGACTTTACTACCTACTTATGGGGTAGTAAATCTCTAGAACCAGTATAATTACATCAATTAGCCAAAAGAGGGCACAGAATGCGTATCAGTATTTACGCCTAGGAAACTGCCAGTTGGTTTCTGTCTAGCAGTCCACCAAGAATTAACAAAACCCACAGTCGGGTTAGGTGTGTTGACTCGGGAATACTGACAGTTACACCATATGTATATATAGATACAACTTCATATAGATTCTTATGTAAATATAGTGATATGCAGCATTTCCGCCACCCACCTAAATGAAATAAGCATATGTTTTTCTAGTGTATTCACTTGTAATTCAGTAACAGAGGAATCAGAGATGAAACACAACTAGCGAGGGTAGAGAAAGAAGGCAAGATAATGTACCCTAGAGATGGTAAATCTGAGAGAAACCAAAACACAAATCCTCAGAGTGGGAAAGAGACCTCCCCAGTACCTTTAGTGTAGCTATTGCCAATACAAGAAGTATAAATATGGCCACAAAGGTCCTCAGGGAATCTTCACTTAGCACTGTCACTTTATCAAGGTCCTTATTTGAAAGGAATGTATACATAAGGCATTCGATAGATATCAACCTACATTATCAGTTCTGTCACCAGGCCAAATATGGTCAATTAGCTTGTACAGAATCCAACCCATTTGCCTGACGTGAACATTCTAATTTTGTGTTTCACTAAGCTTTATAAATATATTTCTTATATTAAGTTTACTGTCTCTTTTCAGTACCAATAAATATGTTCATCTGCCACTTCTAAGTTTTTAAGTAATACAGCATTATAATTAGAACATGAAAAACATGATATAATTAACATCTCTGAGAAAAACTTATTCTCTATCGTCTTAGAATATTTTATAAGATATTTACAATTTCTGAAAGAATTAACCACAGTACAGCCAATCGGCTGACAATGGCAACCTTCTGTTCAATTATTTCCCAGGTAGGAGTTATTACTTTCAAAACTAACTAAAAGGAAAATTAGTAATATGGTCCAAGAACAAATTCTTTCAATCTTCTGTTCAAGGGAAAAATTCTGAGTACATATATTTTTAAAAAAGATATATGGGTTTTGCAGTATTCTAATGGAAAAAATTAAAAACTGTATTTTTTTTCAAAGCATACTAAATGTCTTTTCATACAAATACTCTATACCTTTCCAAGAGAACATCACTATTAGAAATTTAAATCTATGTAAGGCTGATGATAAATATAGATCATATTTTCTTGTTTTAAGGGGATTTCCTAACGTTAGCTAACTAATGAAAGTTCTCTCAATGAAAATTATAGCTAGCCAATTAAAATATAATTTCAACTTGGGTGATTATAGATACAAGAAAGTTAGTGACTTTTTTAGTAGTAGCTTCCTCTAAATAAAATTTCAATGAGTTGGCCAATATTATATATAAACCTTCAATGTGTAATTTTATCTCTACTAGTAGATAAATAAAAGTAAAAAGTATACATTTTTTCAAAAGCACAATATTCCTCTTTATACTGTACATGATATATTATCTGGTTATGCTAGCATTTTAAAAACACACGCATTCTAACATAATTGCGCTAGAAAAGATAACTGTGGAATTATTGCAAACTCTCTACCCTTTTTGCCCATTAAAACCTTAGGGTAAAATAGGAATACATGCCCACTAGTCACAAGTTCTCCTGGGAGCAAACATTCTAAATAACCATCAATAATTACAACAGTAAAGGAAAAAAATGGGAAAATAAGCGTGAAAAAATTTTAATCGTTCCTTTATAATTAGATAGGTAGTTGGTGTTTTATAGTGGTGTTGTTTTGGTGTTGGTGGAAAAAAAAGACAAAAACATTAGAAATGTACTAAAAAAAACTGCCCTTTTTATATTGTTCACTCCTACGCTGCTGCATTTAAAAAAAATCTTGCAGCACATACAAAAGGAAGCATTCAAAATTGTATTTGAGAAAGAAAATTTACATATACTATAAGAAATGTATCAACTTTTGTAAAACCCAAAGAATTAAATTCAGATTTGGTTAGTACTGCTTAAAAGTAAAAAATTTAAATAGCATCTGAAATTTACCATCAATTAAAATCTGTAACATTGTCGGTACTAAAAGAAATTATGTACAATTATTTCATCCCAATCACTGCCTTTTGCATTTAATAACAAAAGCATTTAAAGAAATCCCTGTGGAAAGCTAATTTAAAAGTAAACATGCTTTAAAACTTAAATATAGATCTTGTATTAGTCCCTCAACAGGATCAAGATCACTATTAAAATAAAGCCTGGGGCACATTATGATGCCTAAGATTGGTGGGTGGATTTTAATTGACTTGAAGACTGTCATAGTTCTATTATCATAAAACCTGTAACGCGTTTCCAGCATGGAGGACCCATCTGTGCCCACCATCCATCTGTTTAGACGTGATTGGCAAAGTGGTAGGGAACTCGCAGTGGTTGCCTCTGCCTGAAAGGAATGAACCACAGGATCTTCCAACGAGTGCCAAAAACTTCTGAGAAGGTCTGCTGCCATGGCTTTCGGGGCCTCGATCTACAGAAGACAGCATTATTAGTGAAAGACAGCACTCCCATGGTGCACTTCAGTCAGTTAAAACAATACAGGTTGGCTGGGGATCCATTACTGGACTCTGATGAATTGTGTCCCAGCATCACAAATACAGCTTTTCTTTCATTATGGCATGCAGCTGAGTTTTAGCTCTGGATAGCAGATATTGTATCTGTGTCGTCAATCAACCTAGGGCAACTTTTGAAGCCGAGGACAATCTCAGGATTAATAGAATGTGTGTCAACAACACAGTAGCAACTCTCTTTTGATGTATTTTCAGGACAAGCAATTTAACTTACTTTAGTTCGACAAGGAACAAGAATGATCAGTATTTTTTTTTTTTTTTAACTATCATGGCTGGAAGACCCCTACTGTAAAACTGGGGCATCCTTGTCTAGCTCAGGCGTTTGTCAAGGCACCAAGAAAAAGCCATCATTGCATTATCTTTCCACTATATACACATATTCTCAAATGTTTCCAGTTGTTTCCATTTTTAAATAATACTACACACTTTAGTTTTATACTTACATATCTTCACAACAGTTTGACATCTTTTCAATAGATGTTGTATCCTATTAAACATAAAAAAATTATACACAGATATAACAAAGTTATTGTCTTCATTCTGTATCTATTTTATGATGTTTTAAATCCTATTCAGAGAATATTCTAAAGATTTAAGCAGTTTATATATGAGTACCACAAATTCCAAATTATCTATAAGCATTGCTAAAACTCCCCTGGAAAAACAGAATCAACATTGCATTATGCAACAAAACTCAAAACATTAAAATACAAAACCTCACAAAAATTGTGCGCTATTACTTCATGAAAACATAACCTTTTATTACACTTGTTTTCTTGAAATATTTTAAAAATCTGGTATCCATTTTCAATTTAAATGTTAGTGACTATGCATTAAAAAATACTAAAATGACAAATGAAAGACACTAGTGAACAGAAACTGTCAAGAGTCAGAGTGCCACATGCTCTGGATTTCTGTAAATAACAACAAAATTCAACAAGGCAATCTATGAATTTGCCATATTACAAAATCTATTGCTCCAAAAACTAAAGTTAACTGATTAGAATTATCCTTTTTTAACAGAAAAATCACTTTGTATAATAATACAACTTCTTATGATGTACTTTCTATAAGGCTCTAAAACCAAAATATAAGAAAAACAATTTAACAAACAACAGATAGCTTCGAGAAATGCTGGTTTAATTTGTGTGAACAAAAGATCTACCATTAGATTGACAAATTGTTATGATAAGTAGTACCCAAATAATAAAAACACAAATTACACAATCTTATTTTTAGGTATACATTTATATTTTAAATATGTTTTCAAACACTATAAACTAATGTCATTTCAAATATACAAAAAGGTTTGAGAAGCTTTTCTCTACTTGTCCCTTTACTTTTCCTAAATATTTTGCTCACATATGGCAGAAGGTAGACTGTACTATTAGTAAACAGTACTATTTATGCAAATACTTAAGGCTACAACTCAAAGCCCAAGAAGTTATCTGACTATAGCACTTTTTAATGCTAATAAACAGCACCTTTACTATAAAAACTCTTTAGAGATGTTAACAGCTCAAAATATTAAATTCTCATTATAAATAGCTGCACAACTACAGTTGGCCTACATAAGGGAAAACAGATCCATTTTTTAGATGATAGTAACCAAAAAGGTTCCATTTACAGATTTTCCAGGGATTTCTAAAGAAGTTATGGATTAGCTGCATATTCTATATCCATTAGTTTTCCTCTCAAGCTTTGTAATACATGATATCCAATGACAAATCTATTTACAATTAACCTTTCTTGGTGCTGTTGCATAATTTCCTCAAAATAATATTTTACTTTATAAAACGCAATCTCCAAATACATGACGACATTGATTAGGGACTAGGGGAAACCTGAGATTCAAGTTCCACATCTGTACAGGAGAGAGGTCAAGCCATTTTAATGTTTTACTAGAGTTTGATGGTGACAGATTGTTCAAAAGCAATTAAAACAGCTTGTGCAAAAGTAGAATGAAAAAGATGGGACAGAAGTCAAGAAGTGCTATTAGGGAAGGCGCATGAATGGCCTAAAATTACAGTCCTGGATGACCCTTAAAAACTAGAAACGATTTCAAGATCAAGACAGCAACTGAAAGGTCTTGCTACTGTTACCGGTCAACATGAAGGGAAATTTTTGCCACTCAGAAATTACAACTTGCTCGTAATCTTGAGGAATTTATTTGTGGCATTAAGAGAATCGACTCTTTAAAGACTTCAGACTTAGGCTTTACATGGAAAAAGTTTTTATTTTCAAGTGTTTTGGATACCTTTCGAGAACGTGTTTTGGGAAATAACTAGTATATTATCTGTTAAATCATCATAAGCAGATGGTTATTCTTTCTTTCTTTTTTTTTTTGAGTCAGAGTCTCCCTCTGTTACCCAGGCTGGAGTGCAGTTGCACGCTCTTAGCCACCCCAGCATCCAGCTGCTGGGCTCCGGCGATCCATCCACCTCAGCCTTCCAAGTAGCTGGAACTACAGGTGTGCGCCACCATGCCCAGTTAATTTTTCTTGATTTATTGTAGAGACAAGGTCTCACCAACTTGCCCAGGCTGATCTCAAACCCCTGGGCTCAGGCAATCCTCTCACCTTGGCCTCCCAAAGTGCTGGGAGTATAGGCGTGAGCCATTGTGCCCAACCAGTTATTCTGTCAAAGGATGTGATGTTTACAATCATTTTATGAACAGGATTTGTGAGGCTGGCCAAAATAAGCAATTTTTTCCCTCTAGAAATGGCCAATGCTCATCTCTCTGAAACTCAGCTAATCAGAATATTGTTAAAAGAAAAAAGTACGATTTATATTTGAACAGCCAAATATGGCATCAAGTTTCTGCACTGGCACTTATACAACATACTTATCACATTAAGGTTAGATTGAACAGTCTTCAAGGAATCTATCTAAAAGAATATTCTTACTTTTATTGGTTTTAAGTTTGGCAAGTCCATTTTGAAACTGTTTCCAGGGTTAAACAGGCCCGGAGGCAACGGCTCATACTTCCAGCCTCAAATGATAATAATAATAGTAATAATAATAATAATAATAATATAACTTCTTATATTATCACATTCATAAGCAGGACAGAAACAGCAAACTAGAAGAGAACAGAGGTTACTACTGTCAGGAATACCAAAAATCAGAAGTTATTCTCAAGTACCAGTTAGGTTTAATATATTTTGGTTTTGTTTAAAGCAGAGAAACGTAGAATTTTAAACAAAACTAAAATAATTAAATTAATTTCACTCAATACTAAAGATTCAACATGTTTAGTGCCCATCATGAAAGGACTAATAAGATAACTGCTATCCTCGAGGTGCTTACATACAATTTATAAGTTCTAAGTTATATGCAAAACTCAGCTATTCAGAGAAATTCACTCTTCCAGGAATGATAACAAACTTTTTTTTTTTTTGAGTTGGAGTCTCACTCGATCACCCAGACTGGAGTGCAGTGGCCACTCCCAGCTACCGCAGCCTCGCCTGCCGGGCTCCAGCGATCCTTCCGCCTCAGCCTTCCGAGTAGCCAGAATTACAGGCATGAGCTACCACGCCCGGCTGATTTTTTGATTTATTGTAGAGATGAGGTCTTGCTACCCAGGCGGGTCTTGAACCTGCGGGCTCAGGCAATCCACTCATCTCAGCCTCCCAAAGGTGCAGGATTATAGGCTGAGCCACCGAGCCCGGCGATAACAAACTTTTACTGTGTTCTGTCTAGGATATTCAATTAGGATATCTTATTTCCAGAGAGATATTTATGCCTTGATTATGGTCTAATGATCAAAATATCTAAAACTGTCATCAGTCTGCATAACTAAGAGATATATGAGAATGCTTCACTATTTTAAAAAATAGAAATTTTTCTCTCTTAAAATAATAAATGAGAAACACCAAGACTTTCAGACAGATAGGCCTTAGCTATTTTATCTAATACTTTATCTTCTCCTGATGGTTGGTCTTACCCTAAGAAATTATCTTTCGGGTTCAATCTAAAAAATGCTTGACTATTAAAAAAGGAAAAAACCCTGCATCCTAACTAATAAGGTTATACCTGGAATTGGGGGGGAGAAGCTCCTAGCAGAAAGAGAGAATGAAGTTTTTATTGGCTTGGTGCTAGAAAAGTAGGGGACTGGGGCAATAAAGAGCAAGAATTTATCACCAGAGGTTTTCTGGTTAACACACCAGAGAACTCAGTCCTCTTGGCACAGATAGCTTGATGATTCAATTCATCCAACTAACTCATCCTGTTTTGAGTTCATTCTCACCAAGTAACACTTTGCCACGTACGTTATCATACGGTAGAAGAGTCAGGTGTTCTGAAGACTCCTCTGGTACACCTGACAATTGTTCATAAGGGAATAAATAGTAGTCCATCTGTTATCTCTTTTGAGGCTAGAAGTAAGAGCCATTACCTCTGGGCCTGTTTAACCCTGGAAACAGTTTCAAAATGGAGTTTCTAGACTTGCCAAACTTAAGACCAACGAAAGTAAGAATATTCCTTTAGTTAGACTCCTTGAAGACAGTTCAATCTAACCTCAGTGATTGCCTGCCTTCTTTATTCTTTCTAACTCTGTTGCATACAGCTACCGAATTCTGTGTTGATTTAACCTAGAATTAAAAACACTATTCAGTACAAAAATCAACTCAAAGTGTATTAAAAACTTAAATGTAAGGCCTGAACCTATGAGGCTACTAGAAGAAAACAGGGGAAGTGCTTCATGACACTGGACTGGAAAAGGATTTTTTGGATAAGACATCAAAAGCAAAAACAGACAAATGAGATTACATCAAACCAAAAACCTTCTTCATAACAAAGAAAATAACACAGTGAGGACCCAGGTGTAGTGGCTTGTGCCTATAATTCCAGGGCTTTGGAAGGCCAAGGGAGAAGGATGGTTTGAGGCCAGGAGTTTGAGACCAGCCTGGACAATTATCAAAATCCCATCTCTACAAAATTTTTTTAAAAATAAAAAAATTAAGCAGGTGTGGTGATGTGTTCCTTTAGTCCTAGCTACTCAAGAGGTGGGAGGATTGCTTGAGCTCAGGAATTCAAGACTACAATGAACTACAAGAAGTCCTCTATACTCCAGCCTAGGCAACAGAGTAAAATCCTGTCCCTTAAAAAACAAAACAAAACAAAACCAACACAGTGAAGAGACAACAGAACCTACAGAACAGGAGAAAATATTTGCAAACTATACAAGGGATTACTATCCAGAATATGTAAGAAGCTCAAACAACTCAACAACAACAACAAAAAATTCAATTTAAAAACGGGGAAAAAAACTTACTAGGCATTACTCAAAAGGCGACACACAAATGGCCAACAGGTATATGAGAAAATGCTCAACATCATTAATCATCAGAAAAATGCAAATAAAATCCACAATGAGAAATCACTTCATTCTACTTAGAATGGCTATTATCAAAAAAACAAGACAAGTGGTGATGAGGACATGGAGAAAAGGGAAACCTTACATACTGTTGGTGGAAATGTAAATTAG